ATGAGGAACATTCAAATATCGGACATATTCAAAGAGAGATGAATCACTGCTCACATAACTGGTAATTGATCACTGTGTATAGAAAGTAGTGTGTTTATTCCTAAAATGCCAACAGTAGAGCTCTTTAATGAGCTATTTTTCTCATGATTGCATTTCTCAAATTCATTATCATGAAAATATCAACATCATATTTTATTTAATGCAATTGGCCTTTCTTAAGTTTGGAGACTTAACGAAGAAAGCAATTCTGTTTTTAGAGGAGAAAAGAAGACTGAAATGCCATAAAGGAGTGATCCAAACAGGGGCACAAGGATTCATTTCAGAACTCAGCCTGGCTTTCCAGGGACACAGCACCACTGCAGAGCGGAGCCTCTAGATGGCGAAGGAACACCGCGGAATCGGCGTGGGCTTTGCACCGCCCAGCGGCGATAGAGCTCAGAGCCCGGTGATTTAACAGCCAGCACGCTGACCGGTCAGGATAGCAATACCAATTCACCAAGTTATTAATTATGCTCTCAACATAAAGGCCGAACTCGTATTTTCAGGCCACTGTGTACCTCCGCCTTAAAAAAAAAAAATTGCTGAAATATAAGAGCGCACGATGTGTGATACAGCAACGCATCTTTTTTCTCAAAGGAAAGCGTTTTTAGGAGGTTGGCCTTTCATTGTTTTAGAAGCAATGACCTTTTTGGAGGGGAAGTGCGAGACCCTCAGTGGGTGTGGTCCAGACCGAGAACTCCACAAGGTGGGTGTGGGTTTGATTCCCCGCTCCTCCACTTGCTGTGTGTACTTGTCTAAGGTATGGACTCTCTCTGAGCTTTGGTTTGTAGTCTGGAGATAACAAGGGCACCTACAGCATCAGGTGGTTGTAAAGAGTAAAAAGCTTGGCACAGAGCTTGGCGTGTGGTAAGTGCCCCATAAATGGCAGAATTGGAGCCTGATGAGGTACTAGCACGAGTTAGATTGGTTTATTCAAGTTGAACAATCCACATCATGGAAAAGTGAGACATCACTAGAATCTGAAGCAGTGATCAGGCATCCTATCAGCTTTTTATACCTTGCTATTTAAATGAAAGAATGTGCCGACTTCTCTAGTTCTGGCTGACAGAATGTCTTGGAGGGAGGAGGGGTGGCCGCAAAGTTCTGACAGGAAGCTCAGGGTACGCTTAAGCACACCACCCCGACGTAACTTTTCAGTAGAATTCTGGTGCTTCTTAAAAATCAGCGTAAACAATCTTGTCAACAGCTGATTTTCAGAAAGGAGAGGGAAGAGGAAGTGTGTTTTTCCGGATGCCTGGAACCCAGAGTCTTATGCTACCAGATTCTGGTTAAAGTTGGTGCCCTCAAGAAGCATCTACCAAAGGAATCATAGAGAAGTCACAGAAAGTGATATTTTGAATGGTTTTCCTGTAACAGTTGAAAGACAGTGTATTACAGCTATGTAAATGTAGGAGGTTAGGGAAAAATATGACACGTTAAACAAGTAAAATTGCAGCAAGGGGTGAGAAGCAATCTGTTTTTAAATCCCATTGTCCTCATCTTTGGTTTTTTTTTTTTTTTTTTGCGGTACGCGGGCCCCTCACTGCTGTGGCCTCTCCCGTTGCGGAGCACAGGCTCCGGACGCGCAGGCTCAGCGGCCATGGCTCACGGGCCCAGCCGCTCCGCGGCATGTGGGATCTTCCCGGACCGGAGCACGAACCCGCGTCCCCTGCATTGGCAGGCGGACTCTCAACCACTGCACCACCAGGGAAGCCCTGTTCTCATCTTTTTATATTTTGGCCTAATCTTTTCATTCTCAAAGAACTTTCAGCCGTAAATTACCTGGGAAACACGTGAATAGTGATGCCAGAAGTTAAAGGAGGTAGAGCTTTAAATACTTTCCTAGGTACCCACGGATCCAATTACCTGAAAATAAATGGAAAAAATAGGCACTTCTGGTTTGTATGCAGAAACAACAGCAGATCTAAATGCCGGTATTTAACTTACACCCTCTTCTCCGTGCCCCAGAGAATCACGAGACAGGGAAATGTGTTCTGCAGGCCTCCCAGAGCCCGCATCCCTGGACAGCGGTGTGTGGCCGCAGGCCAGTCTTGCTTCTGTCCTCACTGCTCTGCTAAAGTGGCCTCTACCCTGCCCTTTCCCTCCTTACCTCCTGAGGTCAGTGGACCTGAAGCAGGGATGTCAGTGGCTCTGTGGGCCTGAAGCAGGGGCCCCTCCTTGCAAAGCAGAAGTTCCAGTTCTTGTCTAGGCCAATGAGGTCTTCTCAGTGCTCTTTGGAAGGTTACACATAATGGAAACAATCCCTGTGTACTTAGCTTTTACTACATAAAACCTAACTACATAGGCTTCCATAGATTCTGCTCTAACCATGGTTTAAATTTGTTCTTTCCACTTGCACTTATTTTGTGCCTATTACATGCCAGGTCCTGTGCTATATGCTGTACAGACACATAATAGAGTAGGATGTGGTCTCTGCTCTCAGGTGTTAATGGGAGAAACAAGCAGGGAAAGACAAAGAAGGCATTACAGTGCTGGCACACCTGGTATGTGATTAGCCTACTGCTTTTCTGGAGTCGTTGTCTTTGGGAACTGGGGTGGTTGGCAATGAATTAATTGTGCAGGTGGGGAGCTGGTGTGAGGGCAGAAAAAGGGAGAGGTCTCGACCTTACACATCATGTCAGGATTATCTCAGCATTACATATCACAGAGCAACCGTTCCATCACAGAATGTGGCGAGTTGGACCCTGTATATTATAATCTACTTTATTATGGAATTACTTTCAGAGATGTAGGGGCAATCTGTAGTATTCACGATGACTCAGAATTATGATTTTTTTTCTTTGCCAAACGGTGTCTCTCTCTGTTGGAAACACCCATTGCTCTATGCACAGTGAGCTTCCTGAAACCTGAGACAAGGCCGTAAGGAAAGAGATAAAATTATAATTTTTTTACTCAACTGAAAGGAGGAAGAGGGGAATTGGTTAGGATTTGGAGATGTTAGGTCTCTTGATTTCTTGTATGAATACCTAGTGTATGAGATTATGGAACAAACTCTGTTATAACTCGAATTGACAGCCTTGGAAATAACATATATAAATAGGTTTAATTGTCTTTTATTTTTTTAATTTAATTTTTATTTTATATTATAGTTGATTTACAATGTTGTGTTAGTTTCAGGTGTACAGCAAAGTGATGGTTTAATAGTCTTTTAATGGCACAATCTTAAGATAAAAGTCAATATTGGTACAATGTTTGGAAGTAGGCTTTTGGTATAAGGTCATTTTCAAATGTGAGGGTTTTTTTTGCCATTCCTTTTCTCATAGGTAATCATAATTTTACTGTACACATCAATACTACTGCACTGTGTCATTCAGGTTTCTTTGAATGAAAGTAACACTAACAAGATGCAAGCTACCATCTAGAACGTAAGTGAGAACTGGAACCATTTGGTTACCATAGGCACATGAATAAATGGGGACCATCCGTCTTTCTTACAGAAACCCAGAGATTCACTCTTTGGATGTTGAGAGCAACTGAATATGATTAATATGTGTGTATGTGTGTGTTTGTGTATTCCAAAATTTATAATGTATTTCTGCCATCTTTATTAAAAGTCTGTAAAATGTAAAAATATGAAGAAACACATATTCATCTGAAACATGAAGCAATCCCCCAGGAAAACCTTTCAAAACTTCATCGTAACACCCAGAAAGTGTCAAGTCATTCGTCATGTATAATTAATACATCCCTTCTTCCCTTTCCTCCCTGAGCACAGACTAGTAAATAACACCGTTTTCAACAATTTGTTTCCATGTGTGGACAGATGTATTGCTTAATTTGTCAATTCTGAAAATTTATTCTGGTCCATTTTTGTTCTGGGATGCAAACATATACATACCTGCTACTGCAAAAATGGAATAAAAATCTTAATTTTGTTATGTTAAAACCCAGCATTGTTTGTGTATAGCCTTTGCATTTGATTTATCAAAGCATCACAGTAGTTAAGTAAGGTGAGATAGTTTTATGAAATGCAGAAAAGTCTAGTTGCAGAAAGGTCATGGGACTAATATAAGCATAGTCTATTCAACTGTATATATGTGCAGAGGCTACTGGTCAATGATTTCCCTCCTCCAGGATGGTTTTTGAATTAGAAATAAATTTTAGCATTTATTATGTTATATGATCATGCAGAGTATATGCTCAATTAATACATAGTTATTTAAAGTTAATTTTGGATTATCTTCCGTTAGGGGAAGTAGATTTTGCATAGCTAATCCGCAAATATTTGTTTTAGTGTCTTACTGTGTGGTTAGAAGTTTAATTATCAGTGGTTTTATTGAAATGTATGAGAATTCAAAACTTTATATCCAATAATCTAGTCATCTAACCTAAAACTAACTCAGCTGGGTTTTCTCAATCCCTGTGGAAATTTGATACTGTCATTTCTTAGAGAAATAAAAATCACCAGAGTAAGGAAAACTCTATCTTTTATCCCTTTCACCAGGTAGGATGGTGATAAAATATTTTAATTTCAAACAGTAAGCAAAAGAACACAAATACAAATACATCAGAAGAGTAATTGGCAAATGATTGTAATAATTTATTTAATCATGGCAATGAAAGTAAAACAGATTCTCACATTGTTTACCTTTTTTCCATGAATAATTAAAAGGTAGCTATATTATTTTTAAAGTTTTTCTCAGTCTTCAGGGCAAATGAACAATAAAAGATAGTAGGGAACTAAAGCAGTTATTTGAGTTACTCTTTCAAAAATTCTAACTAGTTACATATGTGCTACATAATTGAAGCCAAGACAGATATTTTAACTGAAATAAATACTTCCTTTGGTTTGCTAATATGATTAACATTTATCTGTATCTGAAAAAGCGTACTAATTTTCAATGTTATCTTTTCTATTAACTTCAGGAAAGCTCTCTTCTTTTTAGAGAAAGTTGTAAATTAAATTCAGTGTCTTTTTTATCCTTAAAACACATCTGCAGGCCATCCAGGTGACAAGCATTATCAGCTACACGTTGCTGAGAGATGAAATTGGATTTTATAAGCTGCCTTGAAAATTATGACATGTTGAGTTCCTTGCTTTAGTGGAAGCTCGGCTCACACACTACTGAGTTGAATGGATCTTTATCTTGTCTGTTGGGTGAGTAACTCCTTTTCCTTGAAACTCTCCTTGGTATCCTCAGAATCACAAAATACGAGAGAGTTCTACTTGTGGGAGGTGAGAAGCTCTTTGGTGTTAGGGGCTAAAGGAAGTTCATCCGTAAACTTCTCTGTTCTTTAGACCCATGTAGAGGGATTATTCTCAAACTGACACTTCCAACCAGAAGCTTAGTTAAGGACAAAGATAGAAATAAAATATTAAGAAATTACGTTGGTATGCATTGGTTTTATAGCTCCAGGAACTCTAGGGACACAGATAATACATAATTACTCAAAGGATGATATTTTTGGAAAAAAACCTCGTCTCTGACCTGCATAGTCCTGTCCAGTACTATAATCCTTGATTCAGAAGCCCCCCTTGTCTTCCCTTCCAAATGGCCATCTTTGATTTTTCTGCAAGTGGGAAAATCCCAGTTGTGCTCTCTTCTCATTGGCTGTCTCAGTGAATTTATGAGACCCCGATTTTCTGGCAGGAGTAAAAGAATGCATGCAGTTTGGTTTTTCTCCTTTGAGTCATTCCCTTTGGAGGTCTTGCTTAGAAGTTGCTCACTATTAATTTCAGCTGTGGCCCCGTGTGAGCTTCTGGCCTCCAGTATCCATTAGGATACTTGCCCTTTATTCACAAAGAACCCTAGTTCTGAAATGATGTGAACTCTTCTTTTCCCCCTTCTTTTGGATATATATACCTTTAAATGTACAAGTGTCAGCTCCTACATTTTCATAACTTCTGAATGGATTTCATAGAGGATACATGCCCAGCATGCCTGTGACCCCAATTTATTCCTCATTCTCTGTTCTGTACTGATACTTTACTGATGAAAAAGAAAATAATGCTGTAACTTGACAGCTCGCTGCATTTAGGAATCTCAGATATATGGATGAGGTAAGGTCCTAAGGAAAAGTTGCATAAACTGGAGTCATAAAAAAAGCACACTGCTGAGACTGTCTTTGAAAATGTGTACCATGGAATAAAGGGACTGATTTTGCCACGGCAGTAAAATTGCAATAGGTCAGCTCCTGCAGCTTTGATTGCTGCTTAGAAGTTCAGAATTCAGATGTTATGAAAATGCGGGAGCTATCACATGTGCATTTAAAAGACATATTTTAAAGGAAAAAAAGAGTTCAGATCACTATTGAATCTCTACTTGCACAAAATGTAACATTCTCTTATTTATATTTCAAATTGGGCTTTCTGTAACATTGGCACACAAGAAATTGAAAAGCATGGAAATTGCATAATTTAATATTAGGGCTTTTTTACTTGCCAAGAATAGGACCAATTCTTATTAACTAGAACAGCTAAATGTTACATTATATAATGCCATACCTCACACAATAAACCAATTTCAACTTAAGAAATTAGTTTTGCATAAGCCTGGCTATTAGTATCAGCTGCCAGGGGACTGACGTGTTCATTATTTGTATTCTCCCTTGTTGACGTTTTACTGTAGTGGGATTTCTGTACATGAGTTCTTGAGAGACTACGTAAAGTAGTGAAAGGCTGAACATTTCTCTGAGAGGTTTGAGGACTGCAGAGTTCCACCCTGACCTCGATGGAGTGCTCAGAGAGGTCAGCAACGATATTTTGGGGAAGCAGACACGATTGCTTCCTCACCTAGGCTAACTACTGAAAAACCAGGAACTTTCCCCACTAAAGAAATACTTTGAGAGGTAAGTAAAAACAAACAAGCAGACTATTTATGTTTAATGCTCCCCTGGAGAATGGCTGCTCTTTAAAAAAATATTGTGTGCCCAGGAGAGGAGAATTACTCAGTAGCAATCTGCCTCTTGATTGAGTTCTACCTATTTTGCTCACTGTTTCATTTAAAACAAGCTTTTAATTTGCTGTTTTCTTTTTAAAATATTGCTATCTGTTGATATTACCATGGTAGCCATGCTTTGGCAACCAAGCATGAGTGTTGCCCAAAGAGTACTCAAAAACCAGAGAGTAAAACAGTAATAACATAATATTACATAATAACAACAATTACATAATAACAACGTAATAACAACTGCCTGCGTTCTCACCTGTGGAACCTCCATACAACTAGCTGGTAATGAAAAGATGGAGAAATGGAGGGTGTAACCTTGAGTGGAGACAAGTGAAGGGAAAAGGGTTTAAAAAAATGGTGCCACTGAAGGCTCATGTCTTTGAAGTAATCATGGCATTTTTTTAAAGTTTAACTGGAAGTAATCAGAAAATCTATGCTTGGTGTGGCGGGCACAGGCAATTTAGAAAGCAATTCCAGTAGACCAGCTAAAGAAGTGGCTAGGTTGGGAGTGGGGGAGGCTGAGGAGAGAGAATCACCCAGACCATGGTGTTTGGACAGACGCCTTTCCCATCTCAATTTTAAGGCCATCATCTAATGGTAGAATGTGTGCGCGCACACACGCGCGAGTTTGTGTGTGTGAGTGTGTGCGTGTACATGCACACGGGTGCCTGTAGGGAGTGTTTCTCTAGTTGAGTCTAAACTGGGCTTCAAAATCTGGTTGTGTTTGACAGAGAGTTGGTGTCCCCTTTCCACTCCAGCAAATATTTGCATGTGAGTGTGATTCAGAAGTGATTCAACGAAAAAGTTTGTAAGCCATTTTTTTTTAGTGCAAGGACTCTTGAGAGAAGGCTAGAGGCTCATGGTTGTTATTTCCTAAGTAGAGTTCTCCAGTGGAAGGTCTCTTTACCTCCTATGTATCCCTTGAATCCGTTTTCTTCTCTCCGTTCCCACTGATAGTGCTTTTAGTTTTGGTTCTTATCACCTTGTCCTGATGGCAGTTGCTCTTCAGCATTTTCTCCCTAGAATCCATCCGTCTATCGTTTGTTGGCAAAGTGATTGTACTATAATTCTGGATTGATCACAACACTGTCTTACTTAAAATCTTGTAATGAATTCTGGCCACGTTTAGGAACAAATCCTCACCTTGTCCTTCATAATAAGTACCTGCCTACTTCTGGCCTCGTCCGTCAGTTGATCTCCTCTCCTCATCACTTGTCCTACACCGTTAACGAATCTCCTTCTAGTTCCTGAATCCAGCTGATTTCATGCCTTGCCTTCTCTGTGCGCCTGGAACCCTGCCTTTTCCCCTCCCTCTCCAACCCACCCTTCCCTCCAACTAGCAAGAAGGGAGCAGTTAAGAAAGGAAACTGATTAGCTGGTTGGCTTTATAGCTCTGTTTTGAAATGGTAACTGTTCAGAAAATATTTTCTGACCCATTTTCCAGATCAGTTTATACAAAGAACTTTACGCTCTCTCTCAATTTTGTTAGGAAATTCAGTTCCATTTATTAAAGTACATTGAGATTTATTGATAAGGCTTTGTTCTTCTAATAATGACTATTATTTGCATGAAGCAGTGTAAAATACTAATATTTCTGAGAACAATCCACATTTGGTTTTGCAATATTTAAAAAATCTGGTCAAACTAGGAAACTCTGGTCAAATTTCACTAATCGGCAACAACAGCCGCGACACTAATCTTCATCTTGTGGTTCTAGCAGAGGCATCCACAGTGAGCTAGTTGGGCGCAATATAGCTGTGAGGAGAATGACCAGATTCTCTCAGTTATTTGGGGGCTGTTCATATCATAAGAGTGTGTACTGGACAGTATCTGGGTATCCCTTCCTTATGAATTTAGAGAAAACTAGATGACTGACCATTCATTGCTAACAGGTCAGTGCTGATGTTTCAAAAAGTCTAAATTAGTGACTTAGTCTGGAGAAATGGGATGTTGAAAATGGGGAGAACCTGTCTTGAAGTAGCTCCTAACCTTGGCTAAGTCCCCTTACCCTTCAGCCTAAAGCATTGCTTCTCAAACTTTCATGTACATCAGAATCACCCGGAGGGCTTGGTCAACCATGGCTGGGTCCCATCCTCAGAGTTTCTGAATTAGTAGGTTTGGGGTGGGGCCTGAGAATGTGCATTTCTAACAAAGTCCCAGGTGGTACTGATGCTGCTGGTCCGGGGCTAGACTTTGAGAATCGCTGGGCTATAGAGTATAAAAGTGCCTGCATTCTACTCCATTAATTAAGGGCGTAATTATAAACACGCCACTGCTCTTTGAGTTATAGTCACTTTTGTAAAATGTAGGTAGGAAATGGTTACAACACACAATTTGAAAAGAGAACTAACATAGTTTGTTAGTCTCAACAAACAAAATTATTTAATACCTTTTCTCTAGAGAGAAGCAAATACTCAGAAGAGTAAAAGCAAGAGAGAGTTGTATCAAAAGTTCCCAGCAAGACTTGAGTTTAGGCAGCACACGGGAGGTAGTTTAAAAAAAACATGCACACATACTCATACCGCTTTTTAATCTAGTATATTGCTGCCTCTTAATTGGCTGATAAATAAGCAACAATGGACTTAAGCAGTATCAAATTATAGTAGACACTGCTGTGTGAGTTTCAAAATAGCTGAGAATTACATTTAATTATAGTAATAGAAAAGGAAGATTATTTTTGCTTGTTGGGGGAAATAAAAATATCTTGTGTACTAAAATATCCAGCACATTCTTTTTGTCCCTCTCAATTATTCCTCATGCAATAACACTAACAAGAATCAAACCCATTTTCTTTTGCAGTTCACTTTTTCATAATGGGACAAGTGATAATAGAATGAAGCAACATTAGTATTTTTTTTCAAAAGCAATGGTTAAGCTCTGAGGTGAGTACATATCCAGCACAATCTCATGCTCGTTCTGTCACTTCCATTTGCAATACTGTAAAATTATTAATTTCCATATGATCATCCTTTGTATTATCTGTCCTCACACAAAGATTAAAATATGATTTGCTATGGCAAGAACATCTACCAGTATATTTTCAACTCTAGGGATGGGATACTAAACCTTTTCTAGGTAAGTCTCAGTTATCCAGAAAATGCAATTTATCAGAGCAACACATTCCTTGAGATTTTGGTATCTATAAGATGCTTCATAGATGAAAGTGAAATTAGTGGTCCCTGATGGTTTTGAGTTATTTTCTAAATCTGATAGTAGATTATGCTGATATGCCCAAAGCAGCTATGTCTACAGAGCAATTTGACATATAGATCAAATACATAAATATAGTTTTATTAGCCTAGTATTCTAACCAACAGATAATTATATATATTCTAAATTCTGAAAAGAAGTATCATTCATATAAGGAAGTGAATTAAAAAAATAGTTCCTTTTATTATTCCCTTTTGTAATATTTAGAATTTATATATAATGCGGTCATATAGAAATTAAACCAACAGTATCTCAAATAATAAAAGCAATAAAAGGAGCATATTCAGTAGTGTTAAAGTCCGTATTGTCATAGTGAATGTTCTTAGATTTGTAAGATTAATGTGTCATCACCAGATTTAGGGAGTGATTTAGATCACTGAAGTTTCTGGAAATCATTTTAGTGAGGAGAGTTCCCTTTATCTTATTGCAACCACACAGCTTGCAGGAGCATCATGAGAGCATTCACTTCAGCTCAAAACATATGAGTTTATTAGCCTAGAAATTCAGACCTCCTGACTCACCTACAATATGTATTTGAGTGAGTTGCTGTTATGAATTCAACCGTTTGGAACTTGCCACCTCTCTTTTCAATTTCAGTGTTAGACTATTCTGTTGCTTACTTCTCATCAAAATTAATTAATTTATAAATAATTTATACCTCATCTTCTCCCAAGAAAGGATTTAGGGAGGCTGCATTTCCCTAGGAAACTACCATAAGTATATAATGAGGTGGAGTTCAGTATCCTCTGTGTTCTCTCTTGGTGGCTGGAAGGTCACACCTCCTCGTCTGGGAAAATAGTGCATCACAGCCTCCTTTGCCAGAACCCCTCTTCCTCCCACTCTGCCTGGCGCACTTTGGGGGGTGGGGTGGGCTGATTGTCCTTGTCCTAGTTATTAGGGACACAGACCAAGTTCAGATTCTGTTTCTTCCACATACTAGCTTTGTGGTCTGGGGCAAGGTACTTCATCTCTGAACCCATATTCTATCTTTACAACAGGGATAATAATTGCAGTTATCTTACAGGGTTGTTCAGAGGATTAATGAGTTATTATGCGTAGAATCTAAGAAAAATGCCTGGCAGGTAGCAGGCACCACTGGAGTGCTAGCCATTGTTATTCCACACCCTTCTGTTCTCAGCTAAGATGCTGTTTCTTCGAAGAGGCTTCCCTGAGACAGCACCTCAAGCCAATGCTGTAGGACCACAGGAGGCTGCACTTTTCCTTATGACTCTCATCATCATTTGTTGTTGGTATTGAAGGCACCGTGAAGTTGTAAGCTCCAGAAAGGCTAGAATCTGTCTGCCTCAACACTCTATCTCTGACATTTGGGATAGTGCCCAGCACAAAGCAGCCACTCGGTTACTGTTGAATGAGTGAATCCAGGGAGTACCTGTCTGTACACATGCTGACTGAGATGAGGTTACAAGTAATTATTTTGTTAGTTTTGCAAATTTTTATTTTCTTATTTTTAACAATTAATATTTGCTTTCTTTTTTTTTTTTTTTTTTTTTTTTTTTGCGGTACGTGGGCCTCTCACTGTTGTGGCCTCTCCTATTGCGGAGCACAGGCTCCGGACGCGCAGGCTCAGCGGCCATGGCTCAGGGGCCCAGCTGCTCTGCGACATGTGGGATCCTCCCGGACCGGGGCACGAACCCGCGTCCCCTGCATCGGCAGGCGGACTCTCAACCACTGCGCCACCAGGGAAGCCCCCAACATTTGCTTTCTTTATGTAATAGTAAAAAAAAGTAAAATTCTGTTATACCACCTTTATTGTGCTATTGTAAGTCACTTCAGTAAGGCAGCAAAGGGGCTGTAGGACGGAATTCATGTTACTGACCTCAGGTTCAGCTGCTCGCCACTCAAAAGCCAATACTCAAGAGACAGGTGTTGATTGGAAAAGGGAAGGTTGCTTTATTCAGGAGGCCAGCAACCTGGGGAGAAGGCAAACTCATGTCCCAGAATCAACTTTGAAGATTCCGCTTGGTCATGAAAGTTCTTAAAGGGAAAAAGGTGAAGTATTTCATTAATCATTGAGGAAGGGGGTCAGACTCGTGTCATCTCCCACAGTGCAGGCTTGTTTACTCCTTGTGATCTTTCTTTAGGTGGTATCTTGTTGACACCATCTGCTCATGAGATTACTAAAGGGGAAGCTGGCCAAAAGATCTATTCATCTGTTAATTACGTATTCTTCATTTCTACTTCTTTAATCTAAGGAAAGAATCAATAGGTTAGGCAAGGCATTGAGTGATCAAAAGATTTGAAAGGTGTGCTTGGGATGGAGGTTAGTTAAGCATGGGGGCATCTGGTGTAAAGATTGGTTAAAATATAGCTTTACTAAAGTGACAAGACAAAAGGCCTCCTGCAGAGAGCTGCTTCCTGCAAAGAGCTACTTATATTCACATTTTTTTGTGTGTGGAACTTTGAAGTTGATTAGTGGTTCTCAATTGGGGTGATTTTGTCTGCTAGGAGACATTTGGAAATGTTTGGAGACATTTTTTGGTTGTCTCAACTGAGAAGGTGCTATTGGTATCTAGTGTGTAGAGGCCGAGAATGCTTCTAAACATCCTGCGATGCACAGGACAGCTTCTTCCCTTAATGAAAACCATCCAGTCTGAAATGTTAATAGTGCCAAGTTTAAGAAACCTTCACATAGATGGATGGAGACGTCTACAAAAATTGAGTTTGTGTAACTTTCAAAATTGGCTGAGCTAAGTAATAGAACATCAGAATTTTGAAAATTAATAAAATTGATTGTATTTTTTTTAATTGGCAGTTTGTATTTGCTTTGTGGTATGATTTGCTGGTAATTAAGTAGAAATGAGTATTTAATGTAGTATATTCACCAATATCATCTGTGTCAGTAGAGAACTTTATAGTGTGCTATATGGGGTTTTCCCTTTACATCCAATTGAAGTGGTTTGAAAAGAAAAGTGTCAACTGACTGCGTGTTTACACACTTCTAAATGACCAATTTGACAGAATTTTTTTTAAGAGATCAGTTTATGAGTCACTTTAGCTAAAACTGTTGGGCATTGCATACAAATAACCATATTGCTTACAGATTGTTGTTTTATAGCTCTGGACTAATAAAACAGGAATAAGGTAGGGCTCTTTAATGTTTATGGAGCTTGGTCTACTTGAATTTGAGTTTAACATCTGGGAGCATATCAGCCGGGACAGGCTAGGTTATGCTGCAGTAACAACATCTCAGTGGCTTAACCCAACAAAGGTTTATTTCTTCTTTGGAGTCCACTGTGCATCTGCATGAATCCCCAGACAATTGACCCTGTTTGACAACTCATGCTTCCAGGCTGAGGAAGGTGCCATCATCTTGGAACATACGGCCTTATTAGTCATGTGGCAGGGAAGATAGAACATAGGAAATTGCAGGTTAAATCTTTAGTGTTTTCACCTGGAATGGACATAGGTGACTTCCAGTCACATTTTCTTGACCCAGCAAATTACATGGGCAGATTTAGGCAGTTGGGGAAGTTTAATCCTCCCATGTGGCATTGGAGAAGAAGAAATTCCTGAGTGTGAGCTGACCTAACTAGCTTTCCTATTTGTTTACCTTTATATGTGGTTATTCAGGATGGTTATTAAGAAGGTATTTGCTAAGTGCACAGATGCCATATCTCACACCAAATTATTCTAATTTCATTACACTCATTTGGGGTCTGCATTTATATTTCACTTAATGTATTTATAATTTGCTTCTAAATGTTTGGGCTTCTAAATGAGAGTCTGTACCAGATGCTACAGTCTCTGGTTTCTCAAATGGGCTAACACATTCCGTAGGGTATTGAATGCTAAAAGATAAAGATGGTGGCCTTTGCATTTTACATAATGGTAAGTAATCACAACATAATTTTTGTGGTAAAACAAAAACAAACACACCTCAGAATGCCAAAAAAATGATGAATTTTTAAGAGAAAATATAAGACCTCAGTGAAATTTTATGCTGAAGCAGGTTGCTTATAGCTATGTCTCAGAGGAACGTATGTCCTTTCCTCTGCAACAAAGATTACTTCACTGGGCAGGGTTAAGAAACACTGCTTGTGCACCTACTTTGTTATTCAACTTTGATTTGGATATTTCCTTAGTTGTCTACATTTTGGTAGAAATGATCATATCATGTTTTTGAAAGTGGAGCTCCTTCAGGAACCCATTGTTTTATTCATCATGAAAATGAGGTTTTCTTTTGCAAAGAGGAATTCAGAATTTCTATTCTGTGTCCTACTAGTAGTTAGGTAGGAGAAACTGGATAATAAAATCGACCATTGTGTTTGTTATTCTAGACCGCCTCATGGAACTGTGGGAAGATACTGAACTATACCCACTCTTCCTCATTTTACCATGTGATTCTATTTATGGTTCATACTACCTATAGCTATTTGAGTCTGTATTCATTCATTCATCAGACAACTTGGGAGCATCTACTGTGTGTGACTGTCATTGCGCTAGGTGCTGAGGGTTAGGACAAGATGAGTAAGACAGTTCTTACCCTCAGAGACCTTGTGTCTAGGACATAATGGCTACAGGGGTTGTGAAAAATCTCTCATTCATTTCACATATATTTATTGTGCACTGGCATGTGACAGGCATCCAACACTACAGCGAATAAGAAGCAGTAGAGTATAGTGTAGAAGAGCCAGACAGCCTGGAATCAGATTACATTGTGGGGCTTCATGGAAGCTCTTTAACCGCCTTATGCCCCAGTTTCCTCATATGTAAAATTGGGGTGATGCACAATTTACTGATGTTATAGAATTCTTAGGAAGATCCTATGGGTTGGTATATAAATCGCTATGTAACTTGTAGCTCCTACTATTATTTGTCACATTTTTTCCCTCAGGCTTTACTCCCTCCTCAAATCTATGTTCTTTCCCATCTCTCCTTTCCATTCCCTTAGACCAAGGAAGCAGTCCCAGTAATGAACCATTAATTTGACTATTGTAGTTTATCAGTAACCTGTTAAAAATACTGCCTGTTAAAAAAACAGTGAAAAAAATATTGCTCTAGCATTTTCTATAACCCTTTCTTTTGTTTGTTTCTTTGTAGTCATGAAAAAAGCCATTGCAGATCACATTCTTCAACGGACTTAACCAGGTAAGATGTTTGATCCAAGGGCCAGACAACCCCAATCAGAAGTTGTGTTTTGCAGGACCCTCTTCCACTTTGCCAGATGCTGAAAGTCTGGAATGTCTCCTGTCTGCCCCCATTACCAGGGCCCTATGCTTGTTCCACGAGCATAGGTGGGCATTCATCAGGGGGGCACACAGTTGTCAACAACCTGCGGGGCTACCTTGGCAGCAGAGCAGCCAGTACCGGCAACTTAAGAATTTTATCCTGCCTTTATGAAGTGCTTTGCCAGTGTGGTTTAACTTTGCAAAGAAATAGGTGTGGAGAGAACTCAGTGGAGACCCATTCTTTGTCAGCATTTGCATTTTATAGGCAGCATACATATACATTTCCCATTTCTATAGTAATATGGCTTTAATCTTAACGAATGCCATTTTGGTGGTTCTCTTCAGAGAGTGGAATTAACATTCACATGTGAACAGAAAATGTTAAAGTATTATTAGTCTTCTGAGGGTTTTGCCTCTGGCTATGCAGTTTTAGAGATTTCATCTTGGTTAAGGGGAAGCAAAATACCACCATTTCTGCTTGTTAGAAGGAAACTCTCCAAGGTTTCTGTCTATTTCAGGCCAGGGTTTTGATTTTTCAAAGCAGAAAAAATGTTTTTTCCTGGACCCTGAATATAACCTGAAGTCAAAAATCAATTGAAAAGCCAGCAAAAAGTTGGCCATGAGTGCTGTTAGAATCCTTTATTGGTAACAGTTTTCTGGTTATTACTAACACATTTCTTAATTAACTGCCTATGTCATTAATATAGTTCTGTGTAATTTTAGAAGCTCTATTTTTTTGGTGCTTATATCTTGCTTCGCTCCACAAAGAGTGTAAGTTGACAAACCCCATTTTGCGCTGATGAGAACTTGGCTTTAAGAGTCATATAAAAGAATGGGTTTAGAGTACTGTTTAATTCCATGCCTTTGCTGCCCATCTTTTCTCTGAAATACGGAGCCCTTCTTGCTCAGCTACTCTCCAAGCCGTGATCATTTCACCTTATATAGAGATTCTTGCTTATCAGATAAACATGTGCATAGTATCCCAGATTTTGGTTATATAGTAGTCAGTATGGGGGTGTGAAACTTAACTTTTGTTAGTGTAACTTCACTTACACACACGTAGACACACATCTGCCTTTCAAGTGTAAAATTTATCTTATAGAATCTACGTTTTCATCTTGCATACTTTTGTACTTAAAAACAAAGTATAACATTCCAAATCCTAAGGTGGTGTTCAGTCATAATAAAGACAGCCTTCTCACTAAAAGAATATTTATCAAGGGCCTTATTGAACCATGCGGTTATCTTTTTAAATCCTCCCAAGGGCTCTACAAGGTAGATATTGTTATCCCCACGCAAATGATAAGCTAACTGAAGGTCTGAGATGTTAAAGGACTTGGCTAATGTCACAGCTTTTAAGTGGTAAAGCTGGGATGGATTCAGTCACGGCAAGCTCTAAAGGCAGCATTGAATTTCAGAAGGCAGAATTTCAGTGTGGTCCTTGGACCAGCTGCCTCAGTGTCTCCTGGGAGTGTATTAAAATGCAGAATCCTGGGCCCCAATATCATAGGATCTGAATCTGTATTTTAAGATGATCAGGTGACTTACATTCACATGAAAATTTGAGAAGGGGTGTATGTTCCTTTTTTTTTTTTTTTTTTTTTGCGGTACGCGGGCCTCTCACTGTTGTGGCCTCTCCCGTTGCGGAGCACAGGCTCCGGACGCACAGGCTCAGCGGTCATGGCTCACGGGCCCAGCCGCTCCGCTGCATGTGGGATCTTCCCGGACCAGGGCACGAACCCGCGTCCCCTGCATCGGCAGGCAGACTCTCAACCGCTGCGCCACCAGGGAAGCCCCAGGGTGTATGTTTCTTAAAAAATAACTTCCGGGCAGTTAACTATCAGACATTGAAAGCATTCTATTTAAGACCCTTTTCATCTTTGGGCCTTTGTGATTTTTACCTAATTACAGATTAGATTATAGTTCATTATCCTTCAGCTGTTTTGCTTCTGTATCTGGCTTTGCGCTAGTCTGACAAGGGTCATGTGTCATGCTGGCTTCTGTGAAGTTTCTTAGTGATCTGTTTTGGTGGTATTATTGTTAGTTTATTATTGTTAGTTAAAATGACCTTATGACTATAAAACAAGAAAAATTGATTCTGTCCTAACTGCTTGATCTTTCCATGTATTCAGGTAATCTTCTTGTAACATTCCTTGCCAGACTTACCTTTGCTTGTTTAAGTCTTGAAAAAGGTTGACTTTTTCCTTGTCTACTAGTTCACATCATTAGAAGTGACTTGCAATGATAAAACCTACTTAAAACAGGCAAGATAAAAGGAAAAATTATAGAAACGAGTTTAAGAAGCTGAAACATATTTATATTAAATGAATATGAAATGAATTAGTTGCTGCCGTTGAAAACTGAATTCTCCTCTTTCGGGCAGTGAAGTCAAACAGGGGAGTGTAAGAGGCTGCCGAGCTCTCAAAGTAGGATGAATAGAATCATTCATGTTCATCTGGAGAGAAACACATTTTCCTGCAACTGAATACTAAGAGGAATATATTAGGTGTCTCTTTGTATAAAAGGTCATAATGTAACATGACGTATAATGTCATATTTTTTGAAAAAGAAAATGAAAAGAATTTTGAAAATATACCTTTCTCATGTTAGTCTTCAATAAATGCTAAGGTCATGAAATTTAGATTTTGTGAAGTGATTCTGGGGAGGGAATGAAAGCAGTATGATGATAGTATATTGTTTCTTGATGATTAAACAGTTGAATAGAGTGACAAGAGCTTGAGAACTTTATCTAAATGTGTAATTTAACATGACATTTGGACTGAACCTCCCTCTTGCATAAGGTATATCTGAAGTGGGCTTCTTTGGCAATCAATTCTGGATTTTCAGATGAGTGTGTAAAGTAATGTTCTGCTATTGGCTCAAGGAGGCTTAGAATACCAGGCATGTCGGTGGGAATGTTGACATCCCATTGTGAAAAGCATTTTTCTTTTCTTTGTGGGAACTCTCACTGCTGCAAACCTCTTCTGATTAGATAATGGAGGAGACCAGTTTTTTGAGAGCATGTAGGTTTAGTCGGCAACCCTGTAACAAAAGAAGCAAATCTCAAGTATCTTTCCCAGAATTGTTATGGATGATTATTAAAGACTATGGCTATGTGAATATATATATTGGGTTAACCAAAAAGTTTGTTCGGGTTTGTCCATAAGATATGTTATGTAAGATGTTATATATTTGGCTGAAAGCAGATTTTTTTAAAAATGAAAAATCCAGTCAACCATGTTTGGATCATTCAACATTAAACCATTTTGAGGCTCAGTTTTTTTCCAGTTTCTTTCTAAACAGTGGAATAATTATTGAACAAAGCAGGACTCAAATCTCAAGGTGTTCCCAAACTGGTAAGGGAATAAAACTCTCTTAACCCTTATATAGGTAGAAATAATGTTTTATACGTTTATATTGCAAATAAGGATACAGCCCTAAAAAAACTGGTTGATATTTTACCCCAGAATCATTGGAAATACTTGCTAAAAGTGCAGAAAGGTAATTCATGTGAGTACCAAAATCTCCATTTTAAACAAAACCCCGAGGTGATTCAGATGCAGGAGTCTTTGGTGGACACTTTGAGAAATAATGGATGAGAATGGTAACCTTATATTTAATGGAATGACTGGTCATTTTGGGTACGTGGAGACCCAGTTAAAGTGTAATGACTAAGGTCATCTGTAAAGACTGATCTTAATAATCACCTTACAATTTTATTTGAAGCAAGTTATCCATGTTAATCTCCAGGCATGAAATGTAATGATCTGTTTTATTATTGTTAATTTATGCTCAAGCTTCCTTTTGCTCTTCTTTTTAACCATCGTAACAATTATACAGGCTAACTATTTGCCTCAGGGAGATGCTGTAATAGGACTAATTAAATATTTAATATTTTAAAGGACTTAAACAACCTTGTAAGTAATACGTTAAGAGGAGATAAAATCATGATGTTCCCTTTAGTTGCAGGAATGTTAATGAAGCCCTGGGATCAGGCATCCCTTTAATGCCCATGTCTTGTATCTGTCCAGAGGCAGGAGAGCATAATGGTTAAATTAAAGGCTTTGTAACTCATGGCAGATTTTCTACTTCCTATCTGTGAGGCCTAAAGCAAATTGCTTAGCCTTTGTAAGCCAATTTCTTTTTTGTCACCTGTAGCGTGGTAATACGAATACCGTCTACCTTTCTGGATTGTTGGATGGCATATAATATATGTGTCCAATAAAAGAAAGTGGTTTTTATTAATATGAATTAATCTCATAGACTACAGATTTACCAAATTTGAGACTCTGTGCAGAGGATGGAGACTTATTGTAGATATGTATAGTCGGTACAAAAATGCCCTCACTGGGGCTTCCCTGGTGGCACAGTGGTTGAGAATCCGCCTGCCAACGCAAGGGACTCGGGTTCAAGCCCTGGTCCGGGAAGATCCCACATGCCGCAGAGCAACTAAGCCCGTGCGCCACAACTGCTGAGCCTGTCCTCTAGAGCCCACGAGCCACAACTACCGAGCCCGCGTGCTGCAACTACTGAAGCCCGCGCGCCCATGCTCCACAACAGGAGAGGCCACCACAATGAGAAGCCCGCGCACCACAACGAAGAGTAGCCCCGCTTGCCGCAACTAGAGAGAGCCCATGTGCAGCAACAAAGACGCAATGCACCCAAAAATAAATAAATACAATAAATAAATTTTTTAAAATGCCCTCACTGATGTGGACAAATCACAGAATCATCAAATGTCAGCGTATAGAGATCATATAGGATATGATTCATTTTCTAGGTCACAGGTTAGTAAATGAATCTAAATTCATAGAATGTTTTCATCATGATTTTTTTTAATGGCATCTTAGTTTTTCAAAGTTCACACAGAAAAAGGAACTAGACAAACCAAGATCTAGAAAAGTTATCCTTTTGACAACT